GTGCATGAAATGGCCACTGAAGCCCAAAAAAAGGTACTGCTTTGACGGAAGATTCAGAAGATTGAAAGATCAGCAGTTAACAACCCTCGATTAACCTTATATGTTAAAACCTATCAGATTCTATTCAACGCTTCCAAAAGAAGCGATGCATGGAGCCAAAAAAAGTACTTTGGATTTTTAAAAATAGTTCATCTGCCCCCCCTCCACTACTTCAGTTGAGAATCGGCAGGACCGACAATAAACACAACCTCGTACGATGCTTGCCGCTGATGCCGCACGGTGGCCTGACAAATGCGCGGGCAGTTGAATGTGTGCCAAAAGTGGCAAGCCAAGGGATTTTTTTCTTTATCTCGTGTGGGAAGGCAGTACTGCCGAAGTAATCAGGATTTTTACCTTCGGTCCGGATATTGGTCAGTGGTTCTGTTAACCCCACCGACCCTGCTGGGCCGTTAGTTGAGCTTGTATTTCAGGTTTTCACACTGTTCATTGAGTAGTTTTTGTGTTTCTGAGGGGAAAAATGAAAGCTTTTAGTTTTAAGTAATTTTAGCTTATGTGAAACTCGTAATTATATAAGTCTGTTTACTTTTGGCCAGACATCAGAAGGCGTTTTAGCATGTTGTAGCTTTTGAGTGTCAAAAGTTCCCCGCTAATGGTGTTTGAATGTTTGGGGGCAGGCACGCTCAACTGCAATAACGCCAGTTCTTCCTCACAGTTATTTGTATATAGCATGGGTTATAGTTTTTTTTTTTTTTTTTCGTTCTTTTTGACAATTTAGCAATTTCCAGCGTCAAATTTTTTTGTATTTGTCTTTGTCACTCAATTTAGCAATTTCTTCATATTTTGGGACTTCCTTTATTTATGATGCATGACAATTGTCGTTGTTGAATCGTATTTATTTGCATCGATGCCGTTTGATGATACCCTCGACGGTTGAGGCATTTTATTTTAACTATTGTTGTTGAGGTGTTGCTGATCTTCCGTTTTTGTATTTCATTTTGACGGTGAATTTGACATGACTTCACTGTATACTTGTGCTATTACCGGTGAACCTGCTGAAGTGCCAGTGGTTTCTCCTGTCTCGGGAAGGATTTTTGAAAAACGCGTAATTATCAAATATCTGAATGAGAATGGTGAAGATCCAATAACGCATGAAAAATTAAGTCCAGATCAGGTCCTTTTTCCGTTCAACTTTGAAAGTTGTTGCAAGTGAAGTTATGATTGCGTGAGAGAAACGACTGTTTTACTATTTTGGTGGCCCTTTCAATATTTTTATTGAAATTTTACTGGAAGCGTTTAGTTAATCGAGTTGAAAGGCGAGTCGGAGAGTGCAGTACCTAGGACTATAGCTGGGACATCAATTCCATCTCTGTTAAAACTTTTACAAGATGAATGGGATGCTTGCATGTTGAATAGTTTCGTACTTCGCGAACAACTTCAAACAGCAAGACAAGAATTGTCACATACGCTTTATCAAGTAATATTAAGTGGTTAATTCCACATTTGCTGAGATATTTTAATGCTTAGTTCGTACCATAATTTAGTCATAAATTACACTGATTTATCATTTAATTCTTTGGCGATATCTTTACTTAGGGTTAATTTCTGAATTTTAAAGCATGACGCAGCTTGCCGAGTAATTGCTAGGTTGTCAAAAGAGCTTAGCGCAGCTCGAGAAGCTTTATCGACTTTGAAGCCTCATGCAACGGTTGAGCCTGTGAAGTCAGGTGGTGATGAATCTGCAATGGAGACTGAAGAAGGTATTCATCTGAACTTTGTTTATACGTTGTGGCTTATATATCAACTTTTTTTGACTCTTTAATTTCTGTTTTACTTATCTGCTATTATTTCTTTATTTAGTTATAGCTTAATCATTTTTTGCAGATACGCAGGGCATCAGTGAAGCCGTGATTAAGAAGCTCTCTGAAAAGGCGGCGATGCTGACAGCTGCTCGTAAACAGCGTGGGAAAAGTGTTCCTGAGTCACTGGCCAAACCTGACGTTATTAAAACATTTGTTGAACAGAAATGTCATACTGGTATACACAGTACAAGTGCACCAGCTGTAACTGCTCTTGACGTTCAAGTTCGTTATGGCCGAAAATAATGTTTTGCGAGTTAATTTAGTAGATTGATACGTTAACTTTACGAGGATAGAAGCTTCCGCATTTTTTTTCTTCCTTTTTTTTTTTTTTTTTGGATTGGAAATTCTTATAGGGAGATCTGGTACTGACAGGGGGAGCTGACAAAACTATTGTTCTCTTTGATAGCAAAAAAGAAGAAGTTCAATCGACATTTAAGGGTCATCAGAAGAAAATATCAGCTGTTATCCTCCATCCAACGGAAAAAATTTGCTTATCTGCTTCGTATGATGCACAAGTTGCTTTTTCTATTTGTTTTTATTTATTTATTTCTTGAATATGCAGTTCTGTAATATGTTATTTGGTTCTCTTGATATACTGGCTACCTTGTTTACAGGTACGTGTATGGCCTACCGAAGGTGATACATGCAAATATGTCATTAATAGTCATGACGGTCCTGTAACAGATATATCACTTCATGCTACAGGCGATTACGTCCTTTCGGTTTCCAGTGATTCATTTTGGGCACTGTCTGATATTCATGTTGGGAAAACTCTTTGCAAGGTATCAAGTATTTTTTCGATCGCTAATACAGACTTTTCATTATTACTTCATTTCGTAGGTATTGTGGTGCATTTTGCTTCTGACTAAGCATTGTTGTCTTGGTCTGGTTGTATAGTCATGTAACTAAAGACACTAATATTGTGCTTTAAAAAGTTGCTTTCCGGCTGCTGTGCGCAAAGTAATTTTATTTTTAGGTACAATCAGAGGAGAAGAGTAATGTTGAGATATGTTGCGGTCAGTTCCATCCTGATGGTTTGATATTTGGTACAGGAACTGCAGATGCTGTCGTCAAAATTTGGGATTTGAAGGAACAGGCAAATGTTGCGAACTTCCCAGGACATCAGGGCGAGTTTTCCGACTGAATTTCGCTTGACGCTCTGTTTCTTAATTTTTTAGGACTGTTATTCTTTTTTTTTTT